ACACACACACACACACACGTTTTTCATAGCTTACAGTTTTGGCATTGTACAGTCGTGTGGGCTGATTTCTACCATCTACCTGTAGCCATTTCCTCCACATAGTGACTTTGCTACTACCTTAACATGTTTTGTACAGAATCCATACCTTCCCCTTTTTACCTTTTCCATATTCATTTTCATATCTTAAAGTTTTGGCATTGTACAGTCGTGTGGGCTGATTTCTACCATCTACCTGTAGCCATTTCCTCCACATAGTGACTTTGCTACTACCTTAACATGTTTTGTACAGAATCCATACCTTCCCCTTTTTACCTTTTCCATATTCATACCTTATTTTACATATTGTAAGGTGAATTTGTATTTCCTACATGCTACCACTGATAAATCCATACGGAATATTCTTGTGGCTGAGGCAGCATCTGAGTGCTCTGGCCTAGGCTGCGTTAATTGACTATAATTGAGGCTGAACAGATGTGGCTCTAGTGCACTTATACGGGAAACTGTTCCTTGTTGCCTGCCTAGACAATCTTCTAATCCTCTACAACATCATCTGTATTAATGTACAGCATGTGAATAGTATCAGCCAAGTGTTTAGACGGATTTTGTGTTTGCATTCCGTACGATGACATGTATGTGGTGTGCAGATCACGGTGTTTCCATATGCAAAACGCGGGCCGCGTGAGAGTACAATGACATTTTGAAGCCTGGCCGAGATCAGAGGCATGTTTGCTTAGCAGCAATGGTGCTTTTCTCCTCTCCTATGGCTGAGCTGTGGAAAAAATTTCCAAATCTCCCTGACGTCATTGACACTTGCTCAATGCTGCCTGGATACCAGCTTTAACTGTGAGCATGCCTCTGCCTGACACTAGAACTAGTAGAGTGGGCCGAAGCCTTTGTCGTTCTACTCCTGAGCTTTGTAATTACCAATGCTCTGTAGACACTTCTCAGATTCCGCCTGCTCATTCAATTTGGAAATGTTTGAAATGCCGGATTGTACTTCTCTCCTTCTATTGCCTTCTCTCCTCCAAATTGTCCTGACTAACATGTAATCTACTACACTTACTGCTGTGAAATAATCTCCTTTCAAGACTATACAGTCATTTCATATTTCAAAGGTCATTAGTGAGCGGAGATACCCCTAATAACCATTCATAACGCAGCCTCGGTCATTAAAGCTGAACTCCGGGCACAAAACATACATTTTAAATATATTCCTCAATAGCCACAGAGGATACAAATCTACCAAACGTCTTTGCAAACCCACATATTACCACAAATATAAAAGGTAGCAGTGACATCCTCACTGCTGTACAGAGCTGTGGGAGGGGCCCAGCAGGTCCATCTACTACAGGCTGCCTGCAGAAAACTACAGGAGGGGGCGGAGACAAGACCAGTCACCCTGCACAAGGAAAGAGAGCAGCAGGGACCGGTCTTTATTACAGAAGCAAAGTTATTTATACTGGTTTACTGCACAGACTGGAAGAAATCCACTGTTCAATTATGAAAACACATGTCTCTTGTATTTAGACAATATTTGCTTATCCCAAAGTTCAGCTTTAACTATAGGTTGTTATTAAATAGAGTTCTTTGCTATTATGTTTAACATAGTTAATTATATACAGTATATATGTTTATATATAATACAATGCTATTTTGACCTTAACCTGGCTTATCTGATATATAAAGGTATTCATATCTTTTTGTATTTGTTCTTGTTTTGTTTGCAGTTAAAATCCTCCTATTCTATCTGATCTTCTATGGGTGCTTAGCTGGTATATTCATTGGGACCATTCAAGTGCTTCTGTTAACCATCAGTGAATATGAACCAAAGTATCAAGATCGCGTTGCACCACCAGGTAACACTACGTTACATATTTACTGTCCTCACCCTTACCCTACCGTTCCATTTAAAGGGACCCTAGGCTCAATTCACCAAGTCCCCAGGATAAAGCTAGCCATACACTTGTCCACTTTTGTATGAACGTTTACGTTCATGACGAATGTCATTCAAAATGTCGTTTGATTGTAACATTGGATTTTGGAACGAATGGAACAAAATCCATATTTTGAAAATGAGCCCGGCGAGGTTTGAAGATGGCTATCACATGGCTGGAATAAAGATCCTTATCTTTGTGAATTGAGCCTGGTGGAAGTGGCATTGAGTTCATTTCATGTCTGAGCAGATGTCATGATGTTCTGGCGCTGCAACTGATATCATTGTATATTTTTGTCTGCAGTCACAGTGGCTGGCAGCTATTCCGTGCGCTGCAAGCTGTAGATAACGGCATTCCCACCAATTAGCTGATATGGTTTGATTATAAGCTTGGACGCTAAGGTCAAGCTAAATGAGAGACTGGAAGCTGAGAGATCTCCAGAGGATTTCCAGCTAGGGCCAATTGGACACGTAGCGGAGCTGCATGCACAATCGAGCTAAATCAAGAAATCGGTCTTATTTGCTGAAAGTGTGGGACTCGGCTTCTTAATAACATTTATTTTATAACTATTACCCATAGTTAGCACTTTGTTTTAATTTTCACTCCCGGCAGCCCCTTTAAGGGGGATCTTAATGTATATTTCCACTTTTGCAGTCACAATTGAGACCCTCCCTCTATATCAGGGGTAGCCAAACTCCCGCCCTCTAGCTGTGGTGGAACTACAAATCCTATGAGGCATTGAGAGATTCTCACAGACATGACTCCTGGAGAGAGATGCCTCATGGGATTTGTAGTTTCACCACAGCTGGAGGGCCGGAGTTTGGCTACCCCTGGTCTAAATGTTTGTTATGTGTTCCCATTCACATCATATCTAAAAATTATTTAAAACAAAATATTTCTTACCTTTTAGATATCTCTAATTAGCAGGTCTTTGTAAGCTCCTCTCTCAATTTCAGTAACATGAAGCTCTGACTGTCCTAATCGAAAGACTGAGGACAGTTTGAATTCCCCGTCATTAACATGCAATGGGGGGGATTTATCAAAAATGGAGCAGTTGCCCGTAGTAACCAATCAGCTTCACTCTTTCATTTTCATAGCCCTACTATACAAAGTGAAATTAGAAGCTGATTGGTTGCCATGGGCAACTGCTCAAGTTTTGATACATTGCCCCCATTGTCTTCAAGGCTTTAACCCTTTGTTAGGACAGACAGTCCTGCTCATCTAGTTTACAAGTTAGAATGAACTCTGCTAGCACAGTACAGACCGGGTTAATTATTGGAAACAACCCCCAGACAGTGAGAACTAAGCAGGATTTTTCAGGCCAGGAGTTAGCAGAATGAACATCTAAAAAAAGGTACACTGCCATTTTTTAAATTATATATAAAGTGATGCTATGTGAATGAGAACATGTAACAAATAGGAAATAGACGCTATTCCAATTTGGCGGCAAAAGTGGTAATACACTTTAACACTGGGTTTACCTATCATGCGATTGGCTGTCACTGCAGTCACATGATCAGGAACCCATCCCACTGGCTCTCAATTGTAAACAGTGAGAGGAAGCGGTCAGTGAGAGCTCTGTCATAGTGCTGGGAGGGCACCAGTGAGCATGCTCTCAGCACAGAACAGCAGGCCATTGTTAAGGTCTACTGACCGGGGTGACACTTATGTACGTTATGCCGGCATGACAACATGTTATGACAACAGTTCAATTCATTGCTCTATTATTATTATTATGAATATTATTGTTTTGGGTTTGAATTAAATTTGCATGTGGGTGTCACTCCTCTATACAACCACATCAGCTGATTCCTCTTTCTCATTTGTCATATATAAACAGGTATAGCTTTTCTCATTACTGGATTTTAGATTGGTCATAGTAGCTGATCAAATGATGCTGAAATGTTATCTTCTTCTCCTGTAAAACAGTAATTGCTGATAATGACCAATGGGGTTAGGTAGAGGTATTAAGTTACAGCAATCTCCACATACCGCTCCGTTTTGCTGCTAATGTTTCCAGCAATTAACAAGCCCTTTCATGTATTTTTAAAGAAGACAGTCCCTGCACAGAGTAAAGCGGGGGTAGTCAACCTCAGCACACTAGTTGTTGTGGAACTACAAGTCCCACGAGGCATTACAAGATTCTGGCTGCCAGAGGCAGATGCATGATGGGATTTGCAGTCCAGCGCAGCTGGAGTGCCCAGGTTCCCTACTTCTGCAGGAGTTATCGCTTCTCAAAGTGTATTTGAAGACCCTCTGTCATTTTTTGTTTTCATTTGCTGCCTTGTGTATCTGCTGGGGAGAGTCGTCCTCTCTATTTGTACTGCTGACCATTGTCACTGGGACCGCAAGTGAGGCGAAATCCAAAATGTTAGCGTTGTCACCAGAGTAAGAGCTGAGGTTAAATCATCCACTGGGGACAAATGTCCAGGTGACAACTAAAATGAGAATTCAAATGACTTTGGGGGGAGTTTCTCTTACTGCCTTTTGGGTCTCCAGGCCAAAGAGTGACGGGTAATCGTGGTATTATATATAGTGTGTGTGTGTGTGTATATATATATATATATATCTATATATATATAGATATGTGTGTATATATGTATGTCTATACAGAGTAAAGCGGGGGTAGTCAACCTCAGCACACTAGTTGTTGTGGAACTACAAGTCCCACGAGGCATTACAAGATTCTGGCTGCCAGAGGCAGATGCATGATGGGATTTGCAGTCCAGCGCAGCTGGAGTGCCCAGGTTCCCTACTTCTGCAGGAGTTATCGCTTCTCAAAGTGTATTTGAAGACCCTCTGTCATTTTTTGTTTTCATTTGCTGCCTTGTGTATCTGCTGGGGAGAGTCGTCCTCTCTATTTGTACTGCTGACCATTGTCACTGGGACCGCAAGTGAGGCGAAATCCAAAATGTTAGCGTTGTCACCAGAGTAAGAGCTGAGGTTAAATCATCCACTGGGGACAAATGTCCAGGTGACAACTAAAATGAGAATTCAAATGACTTTGGGGGGAGTTTCTCTTACTGCCTTTTGGGTCTCCAGGCCAAAGAGTGACGGGTAATCGTGGTATTATATATAGTGTGTGTGTGTGTGTATATATATATATATATATCTATATATATATAGATATGTGTGTATATATGTATGTCTATAGATATAAATAGATATACTAATAATAATAATATACTGTATATTACAAAGAACATTTCTACCATTGTACTAAAATTACCATTGCTGAATTTTCCTTCTGAAAATTCTAGTTGACTGGCTGTCATTACATTCCAAGTTGCTGACCCAGAATTAAAGATCAGGTATTTGGCCATCACTTGTTGCATGATTGTTCTGTGTCAGTGATTTAGAAGGACTAAAAGTATTGAAGCCCTAGGCAACAGGCAGCTAGCATTTGAAGAGGCCTGTAATGTACAGGGGTAGGCAACCTTGGCACTCCAGCAACAAGTCCCATGTGCCACTGCAAGCCTGACAGCTATAGGCATGACGGGATTGGTAGTGTCACCACAGCCGGAGTGCCTACCCCTGTTGTAGTAGAAGATATGTCAGACATTAACAGTCACATACATTTCATTGCTGCAAAGCAGACACCGCAGATTTTCAGTTGTCCGTTGGCGATCATTTGTCATCCAAATACTACCCAGATGCCAGAAACGGAGCGTTAAAACGTTGAGCAAAAATGTGGCCATAACGCACACCATAGTCAGTGATGTCTGGGTATTGTGGAAGGACAGTATCTGGTAACATGACATACACAAATACTAAATTATTCAGCTGGCTGTATTACATTCATAGCACTGACCTGCCTCTCCTCTGCAGGCTGGATGTCACACAGTCACATGTGGCCTTTCCCTCTTATGAGTAATGGTGACTGAGAGGTCAGTACCTCTGTGACAGTGCTGAGGTCCTGGATCTAACTCCCACCAGGGATAATGAAGTAACACTAGAAATGCAAGAAGTTAAAACAATAGCATATTGCGTACAAATGGACCGTAACCGCGCAAAACGTCAGCAGTCTATCGATTTCAGTTTTCTAGAGTAATATAAGTACAACCAATATGGGCTATTGCAGGGCTGGCAGGAGCCAGGTCGCCAATGCCCCTTAAAAATGACAGCTGGCGACTAACTTTTAAAGGCTTCCCCTGTTGTTGATGACGCTGGCTCCTAAAAAGTCCTGCTGGCTCCTGGATAGGACAGACTGTCTCCTGAATTCCATATACATTTGTCCACCCCAGGGCTATTACTTTTTGTCATCCCGAACATGCCGGTTTCTACGCTGTATTTTTACACAATTATCATATCAATAAAAAGAAAAAGTGCAGTCTCTAAAATGTATCTGAAACTCGAATCTCCCTAAACCCGATCACTACTGCACAGTATTGCTCATGCTTCATACAGGCCGAGGAAATATTTACATTCTAAACCTCGGAATGTCTTGTTAGCACATTTTACTGGCGAGGATCTTCAGGACTTTCACAGTTAACAGCACAGCGACACGTGTCCGTATATACCCTGTGAGCGGTTACCAGTCTTATCTGAAGTGCAGAATGTGAGGCCTCCATACCCAAAAAGGGAAGTACAATTCTGCTTTGTGTGTGGGTTTTCTTTCCTCCATGTGCTCGCTGTGCTGACGAATGGATTACATGGGGAGGAGTGATCACTGCTAACTTCCCCTCTGCAGATATGACCTTGACTCACAAGCTCGGCTAATTATTCACCGCCAACGTTTTTCTTTGTTTTTGTTTTTTTTAGCCTTTAGCTAAATAAAATCCTGCAACTCTCGTCAAATGTGCGCTGGTAAAGCGGTATAGTGTGCTTTGGAATACTCGGGGATGGACACAGATATAAGCACTGATGTAAAGCTTCAAATGCAAACAAAAACCGGGCGGCTGTAGTTTACTTCTGTTGCTTTAATCATTGTGCTATTTCTAACACACAAATATATATTTATTAGTCCTTTAAAGGGCCTGTAAAGAAGAACCCCAGGAATTTCTTTTTATGAACCCTTGCAGTGGGACTATCCCGGCACTGCAAGGGTTAAGTACTCGTTTGTGTCTAGGTAAGAAAAAAAAGTTATACTTACCTGATCCTTACCTGACATTTTCTTTGACCGGTCCTTCCAGTGTCTCTCCCCCTCCGCTGCCACGGTCCAATGTCCTATAAATCATCACGTCTATACGCAGTGTATAGACGTGAGGACACTGGGGAAGATTCCAATGCTGGGGAGGAGGAGGAGACAGGCTGGAGGGAGCGCTGTGACAGCTGGTCGGCTTGGAGCTTCGGGCAAATATAACAAACCCGCTCTTAACCCTTGCAGTGCAGGGGTAGCCCCACTGCAAGGGTTAATAAAATGTTTTCCTGGAGTTCTGATTTAATCATTTTAAAAGGGAACTCCTGGAATGTAAACAGTTAACCCTTGCAGTGGGGCTACTCCTGCACTGTAAGAGCTAAGTGCTTGTTTTTCTCTAGGGGCTCCAATGGTCTAAGTCCCGCTGACATCACCACTTGTAATGCAGGTCTATTTACTTGTATCAGACGTGAGGACGCCGTGGAATCTACCACGGCCTGAGTGGAGCCGAGAGGTGAGCGTTTGCCACCGCAGGAACAAGGATCACATGAGTGTATCTTCTTTTTTTACAGCCCCTAGAGAAAAATGAGCAGTTAACCCCTGCACTGGGGCTGCATGGGTTAACGTGTTCCATACCTTGAGCTCTTCTTTAAGTTTAGATTAAATTGGAACTCCAGCCCAGTGGTAAAATACATACAGAGGGGTTTAACAAAGGCTTGCCCACAGAGAAAAATCCATCAGTTTCTATATGCAGGCTTTATGCCCCAAGTCTTTTAATATATTCCCATTGCACAGCTTCCTGAACAAGGCCTGTGGTTGTGTTGACACTTTTCTATGTGCATTACGCTGTATACAGATGCAGACATGCTGCCTTACACTAATGAACATGTATGGTGTGAACAGGGCACATAGAAAACAATTGTAGTCTATGGGGCCTTCTGTTGATCAATGCTGATCATCGCAGCCAAATCATATAAGGAATGTCACCAGCACACCAAAAATCCTTTCGAGAATCGCCAAATGTTCATTTGTTTAGAACCATGTCAAGTTTAAACAAGCGATTTCGGGGACGTGCAGAGTCCCTTCATCAGGCTTAGCATTGAGGACAGCTGGGATATCCGGTAAGGAGTGCCACAAGCCTTCTCTACATTCCATTGCAGCCAAATGCCCCTGAGTCCATGAGCCAGAACAAGGACCGCTGCATTTCCTGGTCTTTTTACTTGCTCCACGTCACTGACACCAACTGCATTTTTACGCAACGCTCCTCAACATAGGGTTCTGGTGTGAACAAGGCACATAGAAAACCATTTATTTATATGTAAGCCCTCAGGGGCAGGGCCCTCCTTACCATCTTGTCTTGATTTGTATTGTAACTGTAATGTCTTCCTTATATTGTAAAGCGCTGTGCAAACTGTTGGCGCTATATAAATCCTGTATAATAATAATAATGATGTGCCCTTGCGTTGAATCTGACTTAATCTATAGAGGTCAGCACACCTCACCGGAAATTTTCAGGGCTATTCAGAAAAGGGTGAAGAGTCTAGAGAAGGCAGGAGAAGTGAACAATCCAGGACAACATAGCTGAACTGGAAAAGGACCTGAATTAGAGAATTTTTCCAAACCAGCTATTCTGTCCTAGATTGTTCACTTCTCCTGCCTTCTCCAAACTCTTCACCCTTTTGTGAATAACGCTATATATGAACAAACCCTAGTGCCAGTGGGTCAGGATAATAGCCAAGCAACTAGCATTTTTTGGAGTAGGTCAGCAGTGGCCGATCCCATATTTCTCCCATGAAAAGCTGACGTTAAATCTGATTGGTTGCTTTTGATAAATTAGATGAATTGATATTACTGCAGAGGGCATTAGTGTTCAGTCACATCTAGCCCCTGACTGAAGGTTAACATTGGGGAATTGTGTCTTGCCAGACTAGTTATGGTACATCTGTGCTATTTACATATTATGGAGGCCTTATTGTGTCCTTTACCCGTTTAATCTGCCCATACACCAGTCAAATTCTATTGGAAAATGTTTGTTTGATTTTCTAGTAGTTAATGGGGTTCTGACCGATGATCGATTTGGACAGCAGTGAAACGTTCAGAATTCTAACAGTGAATGTGGTTTTTCGTTTTGGAAACGCCATACGTTCCAAAATTGAATGTTAACCTAAAAAAAAAAAATGACAAACAAAATTCATCAAGTCTCTGATGGCTTTATGGAATGCTCTGATGGGATTTTTGAAGATCTACCAGTGTATGGCCAGATATAGGCTTAAGCAGCAAAGAACTATGCTGATGTGTAATTTCCAGTAACACTCAATATGATTTTAGATAACTGAACACAGACCACTAGATTACTCTGGTTATGGCCGTCTGCTCTTGGCCATGCTGAATAAAGAAGATATATCTAGGTCTGACTGTACACATTTGAAGAACTTCCTAAAAGATGGCTTTTCTCTCCTACTATAAACTGTGATCAGCTCCTGCCATGCTGGAGTTTTGCTCTGGAGATGTTTGTGTCATAGACGGGACCAAACCTGAAAAGCTAGGTGGTGTTTAAGATTATGCAGATTCTGCACCAGTAGAGATTCTCTTCGATTTTGAATCCTCACAAATACTAATGCACCCATACCGGTTTATTGGTATCGAGTGTGAGTACCGATATTTATCTTTCGGTACTCGCGCATATCGTGTACCGATACCGGTGATGGCCTGCTGCCCGGCTTACTGATTGGCCCAGGAAGCTGGCTCCAAGCTGTTTTGCCGGCCCATGCTGATTGGCTGGGAAGCCGGCTTCCTGCCAATCAGGGAGGCGGGTCATTACCCGTGGCCCGCCTTCCTGATTGGCCAGGAAGCCAGCTTCCCAGCCCGGTTCCTGGCCAATCAGGGAGGCGGGTCATCACCGCCTGCCTGATTGGTGGGGAAGCCGGCTTCCTGGCCAATCAGCCTCAAGCCATCCAAACAGAATGGAGCCGGCTTCCTGGCCAATCGGGAAGCCGGACCGCGAGTCATTACCCGTGTCCTGGCTTTGTGATATATATAGGAACTTTTTTCCCTGCCAAAGGATTTGTATTTCTCTCCATCCAGCCCTGAGATTCACGCAGCCAGGAGGTTGACACAATTTCCTGTTACAGTTGAGGAATTCAGTGGTGTCATCTTCCCATCCCCCGGCCTACTGGATTCGATAGGGAAGAAGCAGCAGAAAACTGATGTGGTGATCTCTATCTGCTTGTTTCTTGCGAGCATATACCAGTCAGAATGAAGATGTACTGGTAATTACAAGGAACAATTCAGGAACTTGCTTTAGTTGCATTTATAAAATACATTGACTACTTTTTGATGAATACATAGTTTCATTAGTTTGTGTCTTTTATGTCTGCCTGGAGTCCAACTTTAAAGTAAATCTATGGTTGAGATAAAGTAGACCCATGGCCTCCCATTAATAAAAATGTGTTGCAGCACTTCATTGTGAGCACTTCTGCCCTTACAGTTCCCCTACAAAGCCCCAGAAGTTCCTATTGAATCTGCCAATAAACACCGCCCAATGGAGCTTGGCGTAAAAGGCACGAACGCGCACGAAACGCAACGAAAACGGAACGGAAACGCAATGCAGCTAAGGGTGAAAAAAAAGAATTTTTTTTATTCTTGCTCCACTTATTATGATGTCATCAACGTTGACAAAAAATTAACTGTCAGCATCCGGACCGAAAATGCATCAAAAACGCACTGCATCAGCAGCTCCACGTCTGCTGATCAGCACCTGATCAGGACCTGATCTCATGTGAACAGGCCCTAATAGTTGTAAATAAGAGCTTGCTAGTTTTTTAAATTTCATCCAGAGACACCAGGAGCTCTGAGACGCCAGTGAGTTCAAATATTTTACCAACCAGACTCTGGAAAGCTCTTCCCCCTAATCCTTACTACTATTACTAAGGTTGACCACCATTTTTAGTGACAATGAGGTGTGAAGAGGGTCAAGCCTCTACTTGTTTGCTTTGTTTCACATATCTTGTTTTACGATCGGAATATAATTGACTTAAAAATATATCTTTTTCAATTCCAGGACTTTCACAGCTACCCAAAGCTTTAAAAACGGAAGTGACCTTTTCACCGAATGACCCAAAGACATATGAGGAATATATAGCTGGCATCTCTAGGTTTTTGGAAAAATACAACAGCAGCCAGCAGCTAGACCCAATGATTTTTAAAGATTGCCCTGGTGAGTATGAAAACAGCATGTGTATATTTGTTCAATGACCGGCATTAAACAGGATGCTTGCCAACACAAAAGTTTACAGCTTTACCAGTTTATGTACAATAAATGACTGGTGCAATCACGGGAGCTGCTACAGAAGCATCATCTGTATGTTTTAGTAATGGGTCTGTTGTAACGGGTTTGTATTACTTTCAAGGCTACTATAAAAAAAAAAAAAAAGTCAAAA